GAGAACAGAGTGCTTAGGATATTAGCATAAAAAAACCAGAAGTAATAAATAGCATAAATTTATCTGATTGTTCTGTTCATTAAATCAACAATTTATAACATAACTCTGAAGTATTTCACCAGTAACAGAATAGTCTTAATGTAACTCAAGCACACATTTTTTTTTCTTTCCATTGTTTTATACCTTACTTTCTTTCTCTGTTTTCTTGCACTATTAGAAATTAAACAGAGATCAGGGCCTCCTGCACACTGGGCAAGTACACTGCCAATGAACTACACAGCCAGTCTTTTGTTTTGTTTTTGCCTTCCTCAAACAACAGTCTTTTTCCGAAGTCTTGTTAAATTGCTCAGGCTAGCCTCTCAAGCAGCTGGGATTACAGATGTGTATACCACAGCTTCCAGCTGTGCATTAATATTTCAGTCATTCTACCTGAATTGCCAAGATACCATATCCCTACACTGCTATCCTCAAACTTTACTTTGAAAAAATAATTCAGAGTAAGAAAAGATAATTCTTACATTGTATTCCAGTGAACAAAACATATTAAAAAAAAAAAAAAATCAAGAGCCAGAGATGTATCACAGTGGCACAGCACCTACTTCACAAGTGTGATCGTGAGTTTGATTCCCAGTAGCAAAAAAAAAAAAAATTTTTTTTAAATCAGTAAGTTTACCAAATCAATAGTTACTTTTATCATAGCGAATGTACTAATATATTCTTTAATGCTTTTTAATGTAATCACAAAGCTGTGTGTGGTGGCGTATGCCTGTAATCCCAGCATTTAGGAGGCTGAGCCAGGGAGATTACCATAAATTCTAAGCCAGCCTGGGCTACATAGTGAGATCTTGTCCCAAAAAAAAACAAAAAATAAAATAAAACAAAATAAACCACATTGCTTTCATTGGCCTATGACACTACCACTTACCATTTAGAAAGTTCTAAAACTTCATGCAGAATATACTATTCCTGTTCCTATTACCTTTCAACACAGCTCCAACATAAGAAAATGGGTGAAATATAGCAAGTGCAAGACCTTGGCACAAACATGAGACCTCCTAGATCCCTCTTTAGTTCCTACAACACTATGACTATTCCTATTAGTGGATGCAGGTGCTGAAAGGTTTCTCCAGACAGAACACAAAACCAAACGCCTTTTCTGTTGCTGTATCAGTGACATTAGGAAATTCTGCACAATGTACCAGGTTCCTCTGCTCCACAAGCCAACTCATTAAATAAAGGAGGGGTGGGGGTTCTAACACAATAGAATTTTAGGTCAATACCATCCTCTTACATATTTGTACTGTTTTTCATATATACCATTCCATTTGACCTGCCCTGACAGCCTGTGTAATAAGTAGAGAGGTTGCTTTTTCTCCTTTTACTCATGAAAGAATTGGAGCCCAGAGGGGTTACATGGCATGCTACAAACAAAAAGAAGAGCACAACCAAGGCTTCGACCCAAGGTATATTGGTCAACCCAATGTCATTCTAAAACAACTTTTGTTTTGAACATCTAATAGAAATACGAATTTAAAAGGTTTACTATGTTCCTAGATCCAGTTTAAAATTGAAGAATAATGCATGGTACCACTACCACAAAATTAAGATTAAAAGTAGGAATGGCAAATTAATAACTTTGGATAGCCTCTAAAATTACTAGGAATCCTAGTATAACACAATATGTATGTGATTTCCTATCCTGTCTTAAATTTAATATTTCACTTATTATAAAATTACATTTAAATTCACAACACAAAATTAAAGAACTGGGTGGTTTTTAAGAAACAACCTGCCACATAAATTGCACAAACGTCTCCCAAACCATTCTTAAGTCTTGTGGCTTCACACCAAATTATAAGTTCCTTATGTGAAACCCAACTTGATTTCAACACTAAGTGAATTACAACAGAATAAGCATGCTGTTTCTGCATAATAATTGCAACATGCACTCAATTTTTAGAGCACTTTTGAACAAAGTATAAAATCCATAAGCTAAAGCAAAACCCAAGAAAGTGTTTCTTTTAAATGAAAAATATTCACCTGTATAGGCAGAGATGTACAGAATCAAACTAAGCAGTTAATGAGCACAGGCCCTTAATGAGATGAGGAAAAGAAGCCCAGAGACGTTAAATGCCATTCCCAACAGTAATCAATGACACAAATGTAATCAGAATCTATGTCGCCTGCCAATCCAGAGCTTTCCATTATTCTGTACTACCTCTGCTTTTTAAAAATGTATTAAGAAAAAAAAAAGTCATCAGCTGGGCATATTGGCACACGCCTGCAATCTCAGCACTTGGAAGGCTGAGGCAGAAGGATCACTGTGAGTTTAAGGCTAACCTGGACTATGAAGTGGATTCAAGGCCAGTCTAAAATGCATAGCAAAACCCTGCCTCAAAAACACACACACAAAAAGGTATTAACACTCAAAAATCTTCAAAACACAGTAAGACTCAACAACTAAGAAACAGGATAGTGCTACCTCTGTAGAAAATCCATTCTCAGCCAAGCATGATACACTCGTTATAGAAGCTAAGAGGATCGCTGAGTTCAAGGCCAGCCTGACCTACATAGCAAGATCTTGTCTCAAAAAAATAAAAATAAAAAACAAATCTTTTGAAGAAACATCAAAGGTTACAAACAACAAGGACTGAAAACTGACTCTCCAATCTAATGCAAGGTATCAAGTAGCTTTTAATAACTAACACAGCTATCAACCACCATAACTGTTCTTTTTCCCATACCAGTGTTAATTCATTTACTCAAAAATCCGGCATAGAATGCCTGTGCAAGTACTGTGCTAAGTACTGGGGACACCAGTGAATATAAGAAACACAGGCTCTTGCTTTTGTGAACAACTGGATGCACCTCTCTAGAATTACCACTCTATGATATGACATAATTACCAAACTCCTTCACTATTTTACATAACTATTAACACTTTCTTACATCTCTTGTAACTCTCATCCCACTCCCCTCTGAAACATGAATACTTCCTTTGGGAATGCAAAACTCCAGATTATCACATGTGTTAACCAGGATTTACAATAGATTTTTAAACTGATTTTACCACTCTTTAGAGACTGGGGCAATTTTAAGAACTTTTCACAATTCACATTTAAGCTTACTGGTTCATAACTGATTTCAAATGACCGTTAACACATCCATCCCACCCTTTACTAGAAAATTCTTAAGACAGATGGTTTAAGAGCAACCACAATATTGGAATGCTGGGAAGCATCTTCAGAAGACTCTTTTGAAACCAGATGCAGATTTACTGTCTCTCCTTTGCTGTTTCTTCCCTCTGGATTCTTCAATGTACCTCTGGATATACCTCCAGGTAAGCAGGCATCTACTTTTATCAAGTATGTTTCTAATGGCTTGTGGAAAAATAACTTTTGGAAGCAAAAACTGTTTCCCCTCTACAAATCTGTTACATTTTGAAAGATGTTCAATTTGCAGTTTTGTATTTTCATGTTTCCCCTTCCCTACCTCTCAAACTCTTAAAAGAGCTATACATAATTAAAAGCAGCCTTAGAAGTAATTTAATTAACTCTCTGGAATAGCAAACCCAAAGCAGAAATTCACACTTCTGGAAGACCAGTCATTTCGACAGCTTTATAACCTAGACTTTCCCAGTGAGGCCCAAAAGAGTCACCATTTTAGGCAACACATATTTCTAATGACTGACCTTTAGGTAACCAATGAATTAAAGAATCTGGCATATAAACTGAGACAATAGTTAGATGGCTTGCCATTAACTACAAGTGGGGACTGCACCACTGTGCGGTGACAGAAACTGCTGTAGGTCACCTGAAGTGAGGGAAGCTAAGTTGAAAGAGACCTTTATACAGCCAATATAAAACTCTAGAATGCTCCAAATTTAGTTTAATGCCTGAAAGCTATCAACACACCTTACTTGGTTTCTAAGCAAAAACCGGTCATGTTTCTTGCCATACTGAAACAGTTCTGAATCGAAAAAGACAAGATCTCCATAACCTTTCCATGGACAAATCACATTTTACATTAAAAAAAAAAAAAAACCTGTAATTCAACAACAAGCTCTGATACACTTACTATGCACAATATGAGATATTAAGTTAAACCTCAATCAGAATATACACTTTTTATAGGAAAAGTAGATGTCAGAAAACATGTCAAGATACTAGAATAAGAATCTCGGATGGGTCTGAAGAAGACACCTGAACATAAATAACAGTAGTGCAAAATTTACAAGTAAGATTATCAGACTCCAGAAGGGCCTATTCAAGTGACTATAAAATCTACCCCATAATTTTGATATGTTTTCCAGCCCTATGTATAACCAACAATATAATCTTATTGGCCCAGTACTCCAACACCATTTCTACTCAAAAAAAAAAAAAAAACAAAAAAAAAAACACTGCATCTTTTGCGGAGCAGTTTGACCAGGGCTCCCTGTGGTCCCTCAACCGCCCCCAACTGTCCTTCCACCACAGTACTACCAGGTCAGGAGGATAAACTGCAGTCAAGCGCCACTCCTCCTTCCCACAAGGCCTGGGCCCGCACTGCTCGCCCTGGGCGCCAATGGTCCCCGACCTCCGGCCTCTAGCCACAGTAGACTGCCACAGACCCGATCGTGGCCGAAGGATGCACACCCACCTCCCAGGGATCCACTGGCATTGGCCCAGGCGCTCGAGAGGCAGCACCCCACACCCTGCGCCCCATCTCCCGTTCTCACCGGGTCCTGAAAGGCCGCTCAGGCCCGGGACCCCGCCTCCCCCGCGCCTAGGGTCAGGGCCGAGCCCGGCCGGAGCTCTCCCACTCTCTGCACCTCCCCCTGGCGGCCACGACGGCGGCCTCCAGGGCCGCCCCCTCTTTCTTGAAGGCCCCGAAAACCATCCCCAGCCCACGGCGGGCCACTGCCTTCTCAGAGTATGACAGCGGCCGCCCCAGGGCCGAGGGCGGCCCCTCCTCCAGCTCCTCCTCACCACCCGTAGCTACAGCGGGGGGCTTCTTACCGGGCGGCAGGACATGGCGAAGCCCGCCACGGCACGGCCTCCTCCGCCACCCCACCAGGCTTCCAGCCAGGGCCGGCGGGGGGCCAGCACTCGGCCGCTGGAGCGTCTTGTAAGGCTGCTCCTCGGCCGCTGCCGCCGCCTTTTCACAACCACAACAACATGGCGGCAGCGGCCACACAGAGCGCGCCCCCGATGGCGAGCCGGGCCGCGCGCGACGGCGCGCGCACACGCCACTGCGCACAGTCAGCAATCAGGCAAAGAAGGCAGCTACCGCGGATTTAGCGGGGGCGGGGCCGAGGCCTTAGGCCACGCCCCAGAATGTGGGCGTGGCCGAAGGCCGGGAGAATGAGCCAGGGTAGGGAGAGACTCCTCGAGAAACCCAGAAAAGGACTGAGTATATAGGTAATGTACAAGGAACAGTAGTGACATATCAGAAAAAATAAAAGTGGTCCTAAAGATTTTCAGGAGGCATCTTTTCCTAGCTCTACAGCCCTGAGCAGGATTCATTACACTTACTAGTAAATCTAGATCGAGTTGGAATAAAAATAATTTAATACACATGTAAATACAGTGTACTTGAAGTTATTCTCAGAATACAATTTCAAACTACCTCAACCTCAGTTCCTAATCAAAAGCACAATGGAGAAGGGAGTTTTAGAACAAAAACAAAATTGTAAACCTATTCACACTATCAACCAATAACAAATGCTGGCAGGCTTGTAGGGGAAAAGGAATCCTCCACTGTTGGGAGTGTAGACTTGGTACAACCTCTGTGGAAATCAGTGGTGAAGATTCCTCAAAAAACTAGGACTAAAGGTCCCATTCCATCCAGCTAGTCTCCTTTTGGATATTTTCCCAGCAGAATTAAAAACATCATACCACAGTGATATATATGCACCCATGTTTTTAGCAGCACAATTTGTAACAGATATACCTTGGAAACAACCTAAATGTCCAGCAACCTCGGAATGGATTTTAAAAAGATGCAGGGGGGCTGGGGGTTTAGCTCAGCGGCATAAGCGCCTGCCTTGAAAGTAGGCAGTCGTGAGTTCGATCCCCGGTACCGATAAAAAGGAAAAAGACCAAGGAAAAAAAAGATGCGATATTTTTATTCAATGGAGTACTAGTCAGTCATAAAGGAGGATAAACTGGAGACATTTACAGGTAAATGGATGCAACTTGAGACCATATTCACAAGTGAAATAAATCAGACTCCCATGTGTGAACATCATATTGTCTTTGTAGTATAAAAACCTGGAAGAGTAAATAAGATCTAAAATGTACAATAGATATTATCAAAGCAAAAAAGGAAGAAACCGCTCAAAAGGCAAGAACAATTGGGGTGGGGGAAAGAAGAAAAGAAAAAAAGGGAAAAATTATATATATTAATAGATAAATAGATAATTATACTGTTAATCTGTTAGTTCATCAATCTAATTTTTTTTTTTGAGACAAGGTCTAGCTATGCAGTTCAGACTAGCCTTCAACTCACTTTGTAGCCCAGGTAGGTCTCAAACTCGCAGCAATCCTCCTGCCTCAGCTTTCCAAGCTGTTAGTTCATCCAAAAAAATGGTTTGTGCTTTCAGTGTTTGATCTTTTTCATGACATTATCTTGTAATCTGAACAACTACTTTCAAAATAACAATACACAATATATTAACCATTGTGGGCCAGGGATATAGCTCAGCGACACAGCACCTGCCTGCTCGGCAACCACAAAGTTGTGAGTTCGATTCCCAGTACCAAAAAAAAAAAAAAAAATATATATATATATATATATATATATATATATATATAGAGAGAGAGAGAGAGAGAGGGAGAGAGAGAGAGATTAACCATTGTTAATCTCCTATTTTGGGGCGGGGGGGATACCAGTGATCAAACTCACAACCTCTCACTTGCCAGGCAGGAACTGTACCGACAAGCTATATCCATGGCCCAATTTCCTATTATTTTGTTTAGAGATTCTGTATTATTGTTTTAATTATTTTTTTGTTTAAAAAAGAAAGAAAAACCTATCCACACTAGCCTTCCACATTCTAAGACTGCATTACCTTTGCATTTTGACATTATGTCCTTCTCTTCTGTGGAAAATGGCTGAGAAAACAACTCAAATGAAATCTACCTTTGCATTTGTTGTATTTTTTCCACAATACTTTCTGAAATTATGTTTATTTTCAATAATTATTGTCTTTATAGCCCACTAGAATGTAAGCCCTACTTAAAGATCATGATCTTGTTTTATCACCATAACTCCCCCAACTAGAATTGTGCAAAACAAGTGGTAGGCTGTCAGATTTCCTGATTAATTTACAGATAACTGAATCTTTACAACAATTTTATTAGGTGTTTTGCTTTTGTCTCCATTTTACAGATAAAGAAAATGAAACCTGGAAGAAGCTGCACTTTGGGGAGGTACTGAGGATCGAACTGAGTCGGTGGCTGCGCCACTGAGCTAAATGCCTGGACCTAAACCGTACTTATTAAAACAAAATTCAAGTCGAAAGCCAGCAGACAAGAAAAACTGCTTACACTCACTAGGCTGGACTGCTCCAGTACATGGCCCTAAAATAAACTCTCAAGTAAATAGTGGTGCATGCCAGGAATCCCAGTACTCAGATTAGGAGGCCACTCTAGGCTACATAGATAGTGAGTTCAAGGCCTGCTAGGAATAGATAACAAGACTCTGTCAAAAAAAAAAAAAAAAAAAAAAGCCCTCAAGTAGGAAATTGCATTACAATTCAAAGTTAGGTTATTTACTCTCAGAAAAACTGGTGACTTCCTCCTTTCTGGTAGCTAATGCTATGCAGCTGATCGTGTCTATCTTTCTATCTTCGAGATTCCAGAAAACTCGAGTTAAATTTGAATCTCAGTGGTAGCCTCTCATTGGCCCTTAAGGTAGGCTCACCTTTCTTTATCTCTTTCTTGTGGTACTGAGTATCAAAACCTACACTTTCTTTGAGACAAGATCTCACTCTATAAATCAGGATGGATGAATTCCCTATGTGGGCCTGGAACTTGCAGCAATTCTCCTGCCTCACCATACCCAGTGAAACCTACCCTTTAATTTTTATGTTGCTGTCCTGATGTCTCCTTTCTATATATGATTATCACCTCTATAGAATAGGAAAAGAAATAGATTAGTTAAATGACTTAAACAATAAAACGTTTTTCCATGTTTCTCCCATTGTCCATACCTCCCATCAATCATCAATCCTCTGCCAGTAGAAGTTATTCTCTAGCCAGCTCTCAGAAAGGTGCTTTAATGGAATTCCACAGGTGAGTAGCCCTTGATTTGACTGATGTTAGCACCAAACTCCAAACTAATTAATGCCTAGGGAGGTGGACAAATGGCTCAACCAATGAGCATTTGACATCCACTCAACCAATTCCACAATTCCCAGATATCCATGAGGAGAATGCAAACAGCTTGGCATATCATGTTCACATTTTATCATGTTACGATAGGATTTCATCAAATATCACTGTTTGCCTCAATCTGGGTTAAAAGAAACTTCATCTGAATCCTCAATCAATTTTTTAAGACATTTGGAAGAACTTTTCTGTACCCATAAATTATAGAATTTGTGCCTACTTGTTCCTATAATGGCTAAAATGGATTGAAATGTTTCTTTTTTTTTTCTCTTTGCAATACTAGGAATTAACTAATAGACAGCTATGAACTATTATCCAGGCTGGCCTTGAAGTTGCAAGCCTTGTGCCTGAGCCTCACAAGAAGTTAAGATTACAGGCATGCACCACCACGTTGAGTTTTGCATTGAAACTTTTGATATGCACTGAGCAGTCAGATGTGATAGTAGGCTCAGACAGGCAGATTTCCATGAGTTTGAGACCAGCCCAGACTACATACTAAGTTCAAGACGAGCTTGCACTATAAAATGAGGCCATCTCACAAAAATAAACAAACAAAAAATCCCCTGAGCTACGTGTACATTTTGTGAAAGGTGCTATTATTCTCCATTTTATACATGAGGAGATGTAAAACTCAGGATTTGAGCACAATTGATCTGACTCCAAGGTCATATTTATAAACCTCATACTATACTTCATCCTAGGTTTGATTCCCGGCACTAAAAAACAAAACATAAACTCATTTCCGGAAGGGTTTAGGAAGACACAAAGGAAAGCTGGTCCGATTAAAGATTTAAATTCGAAGATTTGTTTTTTGATTTTTGTTTTTGTTTTTGTCTTTTTGAGACAGGGTCTCACTATGTGGTTCAGGCTTGCTTTGGGCTCACTTTGTAGCCCAGGCTGGTCTCGAACTGCAAGGATCCTCCTATTTCAGTCTCCCGAGTGCTAGGATTACAGGAGTTTGTTTTTGTTTTTTGAGTCAGGGTCTCACTGTGTATTGTAGTTCAGGCTAATTTTAAACTCCCAGCAATCCTCCTGCCTCAGCCCTCCAAATTCTGGTATTATAGGCACGTGCCAGCACATCTGGTTTTAACTTTGAATCTTAGTACTTCCACATACTTGGTTCTTCCTTTTTCTGTGCCTGAGTTTCTTCATTGCTCTGTGCCATCATTATCACAGCCTCTTGCTTCACAGAGGTATGTAAGAGTTCTTTGAGGTAATAGGTTTGAAGATGTTTTATGCCCTATAAAAAACCAAGACCAAAAGACCATGTCCTGTGACTGGCTGAAGACAAAGTCTTGATTTTGCATGGTGAGTCAAAGAAAGAGAAAACCAGGCTCAGTGCAGGCTTCTTTTGTTTGCCGTATTTCTTATAAGAGCAGCTCCTTCTGTCCTTCCAAACTTTTCCACCTGCTATCCTTTAAGCTTCATTCCCTTCTGTTATTTAGGTGAAAAATGTGCTTTCAACTGCTTAGAAGTAGACTCTTTGAAGTAACATAAGATAGATGGAGAGGCTGACTAACGAAGAGAAGCTCTCTAGAGTGACACAGGGCCCCAGAAGGCAGAGGTCCCTCAGTCCCCAGAAATGCAGGCTTCCCAAGACTAAGTCCTGCTGTTTAATGCTAAAAGTCATTTATTTCACTGAATGAATTGTGTGGCTTATCCCCACGCTTTCATAGAGAGGGAGCATCTCCTTTACTTTCCAGCCCAGCAACAGACAGGGTAACTATGACTTTCAGGCATTGAACAGCAACTTGTCCAGCAGTTGACAGCAACTAGAACTGAATCATATTTCTGTGATTCAAAATCTCCCACAATGTTCTAGACATGACACTGCACATATACT